TAACACTGTAGCTGCAGATGAAGAGAGCAGAGATAGAAAACATGATGGACACCATTTTCAAAGGCATTTTTATCAAGAGATACCGGTATAATAACTGATGGTTTCTACTTCACTTATAATACATAACTGGGTTTAATTCAATGGAGACCGAAGTCAGTGCGTGATTTTGTTTCAATGCAGGGATGTGCTTCCAGAAATCCGCTCTATCTGCGTAGAGGAGCTGGGTGTGTGGATGAAGCTCTACAACTCTGCATTTCTCAGTGACACCTACCTCAAGTACATGGGCTGGATGATGTATGACAAAGTCAGTAACCACAAAGACAGAGTGCAGTGTGTAACATCATGTTGTGTAACTGCCGTCTGTTGCAACCAGTGTGTGTCATCTCTCAGATTCCAGACGTGCGTCTGAAGTGTGTGTTAGGTTTGCAGGCTCTGTACGGAGATCCGTCGCTTTTTCCTAAACTTGACCTTTTCAGCAGCCGTTTCAAGGTGAACAAACTTGTTAACTATTACACTGTGATTTCGTAAAACAGAAAATATAAGCTGTTGTAACAACAACATTCTGTAATAATCCTTACGCTTTTTGTGCCACAGAAGCGGATGATCTCCATGACTCTGGATAAGGACCATGAAGTTGCAGCACAGAGCCTGAAACTTTTGGTTCTCATTGCCAAGTTAGTCACCCACAAGTTTATTTCTCCTCACTTCTCACAGCCTTTATTTGCATTTGCTCAACTTTTACCGTAACCTGTAATTATTTGCAGAACATCAGAGGACATGCTCACTCCTGAGGACCACAGTTATCTCCTCCAGTTTGTCTACTCTTCACAGCGACTGCTAGCATCCACTGCAGGAGAGCTGCTCTACTCCACCAGGTGTGATGTTGGTGAACCCGAAATTACAGAGACAAAATACAAAAACGTTTACATTTGGTTATGTCAAAAATCTTGTTATTCCTCAGGCTGCTCAACAACACTGATGCGCTTAGATCTAATTCTCTGGATGAAATAAATGAGGAGGAGTCTCACAGGCTGCAGACCTGTGGCAGAGTGAAGGCTCTGCTGCACTTTTACCAGGAATCCCAGGTTGAAAAAAATATTTCTACTGCAGTTTAAAGGAAAACAAACACATGCATGTACCTTTGATATTCCTTCATAACACTATTCTGTGTATTTCTCTTCATTTTCTGCAGCTTCATGAACATGTGGTGTATCTGGTGGACAGTCTGTGGGACTGTGGTGGAGCTCTGCTGAAGGACTGGACCACACTCACGTCTTTACTGCTGCAGGACGCCACGTCACACAGGGCAGGTCAGAGGACGAACATGACTTTAACTTATCACACATTAAATATATACTGATGGTTTAGAGTTTCCCATCTATGGTAGGGGCCTTAAACTCCTGACTAGTGGGCTGAAAATGGCCTGTGCACCCCGAAAAAATAGCCTGCACTAAATGTCAATAATGATTTAATTTTGCTCTGGAGAATTTTTAACAATGTATTTCCAGTTGTTCAATTGTTTTGTTTGGTTATTCATTAATTGCGCTCATTTGCGCTGTTATTAAGTATAAGATTGTATTTATAGGATTAATGTGTGTGTGTGTGTGTGTATTTGTGTAAGTGTAGGTCTTACACTGTCTGAACAAACGGTGCTTGTTGAGATCCTGGTGGCATCAGTGCGTCAGGCCTCAGAAGGACCAGTCTTGGCTGGCAGGAGTGGAGCCAAGAAGGTCTGTGTGGAAAACACTAACTGGACATAATCAAGACCCAAATTAACCAAAGACACTTTTTTTTATCAGAACAGATTCACAGCAAGAACAGAAATTATTCAGTTTAACTTCTCTGTGTTCTTTAATTCAGGTCATTAGTGTCAAAGAGAAGAAAATCCAGGTGGATGACTGCACTAAAATCACTGAGCATTTCCTGACTGAGCTGCCAAAGTTACTGTCAAAGGTTGGTGGTCTTGTCTATAACGATCATCAGATATTTTCTACAGATGTTTTTTTTTTTTTTTTTTAAGTCTCTGTTTTTTCTGTTTGTGCAGTTTTCAGGTCACTGTGACGCCGTGGCCTCCCTGATGAAGATCCCCCAGTTTTTTGTCCCTGACTGTCCTGTTGATGATATCACACAGGTCTGTCCATGACATGGGCTTTCAGCTGACACAGTTACCAGGATGAAAATGAATCACGACATTTATTATAAATGGAAAGAAAACATTATAATGTTAGTTAAAACAAAAGATGTTTTCCCCTCACCCTCAGGTCTTGTCCAGCCTGCTGACAGAGATACAGGCTGCTTTGGACATCCACTCCAGTCCAGCTGTTCTAGAGGCGGCTGCTCGTACATATCTGTATTTGTGCAGCAAAGAGACGACCTGGTCCTCCATAGTCAGAGACAAGAGAGACTCTGTGGTTCAGACCTGGGTCGACCAACTGACAGTTCTGCTAGGAGAGTCACTCAGGGTGAAGAGAATATACACTCTATATGTGCGATTTGGATCACTTTATGTTATGTACATTTATTTAAAATATTAATTGATGTCACTTTTTAGTTTTATCCATTTATGCAGGGACATTTGAAATACTGTTCACAATTTAAATGTTTCTGTAATGATAGGACACCATCTCCAAAACATGTGAAATCCACATCTTTTGATTAATGTAAATTCTATTTACACGTTCTAATATGTAGAAATACTCACCTCTAGAGATTTGATCTTCATCAGATCCGAAAGTTTGATTTGATACAAAGGGGGACATGGTATTGTCTTTTTTGGACGAAGTCATTGAGACAGTTTAACACGTCTGTTGTCTCTGTAGGAGGACTGTTTCTCTGCTGATGAAATGAAAACTGGAAACATTTCAAGCACACTGAAGAAACTGAGCGCTTTTCACAAGTAAGGTTTCAGATTAGTTAGGTGTAAGCCAAACTTAAATTGATTTTTAAAAAAGAAATTAAATGATTTCTCTCTGTTCCTTCAGCTGTCACGACCTGCAGAAGTGGGATCTGTTCCAGCTCCTCTTTCCTCTTCTGTCAGTGAGAGGCAGACGTGGAGAAGAAGATGGAGCTCCACCCGAGGTGACACCTTTTTTTCTGTCCACACGCGGGGAACTGATCACTAGGCCTATTATTTGACTTATTTATTTATTGTTTGTGTAAAGGTGCTACTGGAGACTCTGCGGTGTCTGTGTTACTCCATGCTCTGGTCTCTGAACACAAGCGGTGAAACTCTAACATCCAGAGTGAGTCATGGCTGCTTTAAGATGAACTTTACTTAACATTTACTTAATATATATATTACAGAAATGTAAATTTGATGCTGCACTGTAGGACAAGACTGTGGCCCAGCAGCAGCAGCTGTGTCTCTTCTGTGAGAGGAGTCTTCACTGTCTGTCTCACCCTGACAATAGGGTACGTCAACAGGTAGGCAGTGACAGGAGCAGGTGAAAGTTATAACAGTTTTTTTTACCTTTATTTCCTCTTTTCACATCTTCATTTTCCACGTTTCAGGCTTTCCAGGGAGTGTGTGATGTCCTGTCGGCTCACTCCTACCAGCTTCATGTCTGGACTCCCACCTCCTTTGGTCCACTAGTCTACACTCCCAGTCCCAAACTCCAGAGGGCGCTGTCCAACTTTGTATGCACGCATGTCTTCGCTGGCTCAGACTGTGAGAGACAGAGCAAGGGTAAGACTTTAGTTTTCATTGTTTAAAAAAAAATATATTCTTGATGGTAAAGATTTCCCAGAAACACTTACAATTAAGAATCAGTTTAAAAGAAAAAAGAAAACATCATTTGGATCATAATGGCAAAGGATATTAGTGAAATGTTGGTACAGTTATTACATCTATTCTAATTGTATTTATTTTGTACTGGAATCAGTTTTGATTTGTCATCAACTACATTTTGGGTCTTATTGTAATTGTTTGAAAGCCTATATTATATTTTTTCTTGCATGGATATCATTCATCCCTATGGACTGGCTGTGACTAAGAGATCATGTGAAACTTTAAAAAACACCCACAGTTTTGACCATTTCCCTGTCATGAAAAAAAGCCAACAAATTTTTAGGAAGGTATAAAAAGTTTTTGTTGGTATTTTGTATAACTACTACAGCACTTCCTTCTGTAGTGTGACGTTTAATTTTGTTTTTGGAGGTAATTCTTTTTAAAAGACAATGTCAGAACAGACCAGTCCAAGTCTTTCTTATTGTTATTATTTAATATTTTCCGATGAAATCCAGTTATTTGGCCAGCTTTTATCATTGTTCCTGTCTGATTCTTTTAAATCTGATTTTGCTTGATATTTGTCAAATATATGTATATACAAGCATATGGACTTTTATTCTTGCTATTTTTGGCATAAATAGCTGTAAGGTGGCGTTGTTGGTAATTTGTAGGGATTTTTGTGAGATTCTTATTTGATGTAACTAACATTATCATTATTAACTTTTTTTTCTCCAGATACCTTTTTTATTTTAAAGTTGTCCACTCCTTTTTTTAAACACTTATTTTAGAGCAGTGTCTCACATTTTACTGTGACAAATGCAGTGTATTTCTGATATAAATGTAAGTTTTCAACACAAAAAAGCACTGAAAAATCATGACATGAAATTAGACCATAGAGAAACCATATCTTACATGTAAATGTAAGATATAAATGTCAAAATCTTGACATGAAATTAGACCATAGAGAAACCTCTACTTACTGTACACCATGTGTCAAGTATCTAAATAAGTCAGCTTAAAATTGTTTAAATTTAGATTTTTCTCACTTCTATGTTTGCTGCTCCGCTCCACACTTTAACAGTGTATTTTCCGCTGTGTCTTTGCACAGGTATTATGTAGTTCGTGGAGAACAATACAAACCAGTGTTAAACAGCAGATGTCGCTCAAACCCAACCACTGCTCCAGCTGCGGCCCTCACGGTGTTGAACGACATCAGAAATTAAATGCGCAGCCACACGTTTGGTCTAATAACTCACCGCAGCGCCGCCTCCTGACTACAAATGGCTGCTGATTTGCAACCTGACCTGACAATTGACCCCCAATTACAAAGGAACCCCTGTTAATATCTCCAGACTGAAGTGGCTCGACTAATTTGTATAAAGGCGTGTTCCACTTTGCTATGCAAAGTGAGGACGCTAGTAAATTGATGAGGACAGTATAGTACCGTCTGATCTGAAAGGTAAAATCCCCAAGATTGACGTGCTGCTGCGATGTAGCTGGGTGTTCTCTCCTCTTTGTTAAAGTACAGCAGGTGAAGCTCTGATTTCATTCATTCATGGTGGAGAATAACAACGGAAAAAAATCCTTTTATTAACTTTACACCAGCTTCTCCTTTCTAAAACATATTGCTCCCAAATACGGCCCAGTCCAGAGAAGTCAATAAATGTCCTGGTGGGAATTTCCTAAATGTCCAACTAAATACAATACGGGATTATTGGTTTTTGAACATGCAATAAAAAGTCATTGTTTTATTGGATTTGCCTGGTTACAGTTCTGTTGTATAGACAGTGTTTTCTATTAGTTGCTGGATTGGAGATCACTGTAAGGGCAAGGGCATGGAGTTAAATCATAAAATCAGGGCAATCTTTTTTCCGTGAGAAAATTCCATTAACTCTGGCTCACCTCCGCGCGTATTTTATTAGTCTTTGCGAAAGATTGAAGCCACATGGTGTCACAACCATAACTCTCCTCTTATGTTATCTTTGATTTCCACCTGCTAAAGCCATTGTCCCGAAACAAACTAAAACACTCCTTCCCTCCTGTGCTTTGTTCTTTTCCTTTCTCTTATATGATTTCTTATGATTAATCACTCTCCTCTCCTTCACCCCCTCCTCTCCTTCTCCCACTCCACGTCCACTCTACACACTTCTCCTCCCGTTCTGCCTCCGTCAGTCATCGAACACTCGGAGCTGGAGCGGCTGGAAAGGCTTCACACGCGGAGAAACCTGCTCGCTGCCTTCTGCAAGCTCATAGTGCACGGCGTGCTGGAGATGAGCACGGCCGCCGAGGTCTACATGCACTACATGAAGGTAAAGGTGAACTTCTTAAAGGAGCAGTGCAACAATTTTTGCGACAGCTTTGCTTTGCATCATTCAGTGGTGACTTGAGGGGGAAAATCACATTTTTGCCTTTTTTTTTTTTAAACATCTAAATTTCAATTTTTGGGGTGAAAGCTGGCCAAAAAATAGCAAAAATAATGAGTCTAAATGTACGTAGTTAAACCGAGCCAAAATTGTGCTAAAACAACTATGGTTAGACCAGAAACAACTACAACTTTTCTAGTAAAGGCAGCTAAAAACAGCTAAAAGTTGAAGTTAGCCAAAAAAAAAAAAAATAGCTAAGACTTGACAAAACAGTGGATTATTAAATAGCCCTTGCTAACCAAAAGGTAAGAATAAATCAGAAGGGCGATGTTAAAATATTGCAGTAGATTAACTGCGAGTTGTGGCTAAAACACAGCTCCAAAGTTAACAGTGGTTAGAGTCCATCAGTTACAGCCCTATTTTCTTTGCTTTTGCTCCACAGTTTTACAATGACTTTGGAGACATCATCAAGGAGACGATGTGCAGAACCAGACAGATGGATAAGATAGAAGGTTCTCGAACCCTTGTTCTCTGTTTACAGCAGGTAAACTGCACTGCATGAGTCATTCACTGTGATTGGCCAACAGACAGGTGATGATTTGATTGTTCTCGTCTTTGCTCTACAGCTGTTTGTGCAGCTTAAAAAAGAGCAGGAGGGCAGTGGTCCGGCCAGAGCAGGAGTCCAGACGTTCACCAGCATCAAGGAGCTGGCCCGGAGGTTTTCGCTGACCTTTGGGGACAAGTACCGTGAATGTCTTGTCATGATCCACAGGTCAGTGCTAATCCAATCAGCGAGAGACATTATATTCCCCACAATGTAGGACTCGTGTCAAACGTTTTAGCTGCAGTGCATACCTTTAAAACAGTTTTTTCCAACCCATTTTAGCCAAACAAAAATGTCACAAAAAGTATTTGTAATGAAATATAATGGTCTTCTAGTTTCAATTTGCTAATTCTCTCACCTGTTTAGTGGAACACCATCCCAATATAGTCACAGGAATTGAAGAAATATATGCACAAAGAAGAATAATTAACTATTCTGCCTGTCACTGTTGAGTTCCCAACCTGTGTCACTATCCCTCGAGCCAACCAGCCACTTGGTTGAGATCTGAGGGAACTGTCATGTCAAAGGTCAAATTACACCAATTAAGGCAAAAGTTACAATTGTCTTGCCTGGGATTCAAACCCAGTTCTCCTGCACCATAGTCTGAGGACTTAGCCCCTATAGCTATATTGCCATGGTGTGACGATGAAGCTACAGTGTTATTGGAAAGCAAAGATTTGAACCCTCATCTTCTGAACCAAATGCTTTATGCAGCATTTATATTGATTTGTTTCAGGACTGGAATAGAGTTTGTCTTCCAAGGTTTCAGCCCGAGTCCAGAAACAGCTACACCACCATATGTTTCCTACCTGACCATCCTCAGTGAGTTCTCCAGCAGACTGCTGCGACCAGACAAGAAGGCAGTGTAAGTGCAGGACACCAGTCTGTAAACGAATCCTCCTCCATCTTTCCCTCTTCCTCAGCTGCCAGTTCAACGTCTCTATGTTGTTGCAGCTTCTCGTACCTGCAGAAACAAACAGCAGACCATGTCACTGACTTCAGAGAGGAGAGCTGGAAGCCTCTACTCCAGTATCGAGCTTCTCTATTGGCTGCAGCCAAAGGGGAAGATGCTGCATCCAACGTCAGCTCTGACAGGAAACACAACCTGCCAGGTCGCTCTGCCGTCTCCAAACAAAAACAAGAAGGTAGAGACGTGATAGAACAGTTTGTCACATGCTGCGTCTGCTGTTAGTGTCACTTAATAACAGCTACATTGTGTGTTTGAATGTCATTAGGAAGCAAGTCTCCCTGTGGGTTCAGCCCTGCTGACTCCAGAGTCAATAAAAGCCACAGAGACCATCTGAGTCCAAGGTGAGGCTGCAGAAGGAAGAAGACTTGAAGATTTAGAAGTCAGATTAGAAAGTTAAAAAAAAAAAAAATTCAAATCCAAAAATGTCATTACAATTTCTTTTAAAGAGTCAGGAGTCTGAAAAAATAGAGATCAATTATTTAAAAGTTTTTTGGTTTTTTTTTGGAGGTCAGTATTTCAAAATTGTTTAGCCACAAATCTGTGAATGAGATCATAATTGTTATAATAACCCCTTGTACTTTTCTATAATAATTCTATAATAGTTACCTCCTCAGCCTCCAGGAGAGGACGGCTGAACCACTCCACCCTTCTGTAGGACGAGCAAACCTAGAGGGTGTCATCATCAGCAGCAGCGAGGATCAAGAGGATGAAACCGTGGAGGTAGAGCTCTGACCCTGGTGGGTCACTGGTGTCACAGACCAACTCTTTAAAGACCTAAGTGGACATTGGAAACTCTGGAAGAGACAGACTTGACATCCTTGTTTGCTGTCGTGTGATCAGACATTGACATGTCACAGAGATGGGTTTATTTAAATTGTTTTTTTAACATTATTTAATTCAAGAAGACACAAGCTTTCAGATCTGAAGACAAGCTCTCAGAATCTTCAAAAATCAAGGAAGAAACAACAAACAAACATCAAGGCTGTCTCTTTAATAACTTAAATAGGATAATCCAACAGTGAGTCACACATTTAGTACATTCTTTTCTTTATCATAAATATTGAAACTATTTTATTTGAATCCTGACCGTGTGTCCTGCTAAACTACAAAATCACCACAGGGTTCAGACCCTTTTTACAAGGTCAAATTCAAGCACCTTTCAAGCTCTTTGCGATTTATATTTCAAGCTTTTCCAGCACTTTACAGCTTTTATCTTTTATCTTGGCTGACCTTATAGTATTTCTGATATTTATGGTTAATTTATAACTTTTTCTTCCCCATTCGATAGCTATCTATTGGTCCATTTTAGGGCCAACGTGGAGCTGTTGGAGCAATACCTAGCTGAAATGAAGGTGTATATGCTAATGTTTAGCTTATTTGGGCTTAAAGTGTAGGACAATGTTGTTTACACCATGAGCTTCTTTGAGTTTGTAAAGAAATCTTTTAATTAGCCTTTTTTAGGTAATTTGTCAAATCAGCTATTTCAAAGAAAACCTCTATGAAATCATAGCTTTTTGCTTACTTTCATTAAACTTATGGCACTTTTTTTTTACAAAAAAAAAAAAAATCAGCCTTATTTGTAACTATTTTATCACCATCACAGAAGAATCTTCATTTCTACTTTTATAAACCAAACATACTGTGTCTTTGTCTGATGATTCCCCAAATTCTAACTGGTGTCTTCATGGGGTCACTGCACTACTGATTGATCAGCTTTACTTTAAATACGATTATCAACTTCACTTACTGTATTGTGTACTTTAACGGATGTACTGGATATTATACTAAAGATAAAGCTAACACTAAATTGCTACCATTTTGTTTTACACTCAGGTCTGGGATTTGTTTGTCATTTATTATTGTTCTTCTTCTTTACTACCTTTATTATTACTCCCTATAGGGAATGACTGGGTAATGGTTTTTAAAGCTTGCTCCATGTTATACCTGTAAACATGTGGTTTTTAATTATGTCACCATTTCCTGAAACATTCTGTGTGCAGGTTTGTGACACCAACAAAATGTCATTTTTTTAGACTTGAAATGTTTCCTAATGTATGTAAAAAAAATTAATCATTGAATAGCAGATAAATCCAATGACTGCTTTCTTTACTCTTCCATAAACCAAGGCTTTATTATTAATTTTAAGAAACAAAAAACCAACCTAAAATTGGTTCCATTTGTTCTGACAAAGTACTTTCAGAGTTTGTACTTCATAAAAAAACATCTAAAACACTTGCTCAAATCATTTACACCACAGCAAGCTGCAAATACATATTTACACAGATTAATTAATCCATCTCTAATAATTTATCATTTTATCTCACACACAAACACAGAAAATCCATATGGTGAAGAAATGAAGCCTGTACAACACTGTGTGTGTGTGTCTGAGAGAGAGAGTGTGTTTTATCTGTGTGTGTTTGTTGTTCAACATTTACAGGAACTTGGTTTTTAATTACAGCCGCAGAGAAAACATCAGTTGTTGTGATCACTGGAATGTAAAAATGAGCCAATGACTTGATGATGATTATTATGACCAGTTTGTTCTTTAGCTCTGATGTGTAGATGATGTGACGAAAAATACTACAGTGGTGTTCAGAAAAGAAAGGAAAAAAGAAAAAAAAGAAAACAAAACCCCCACGCTTGCTCCAAATGTAACGTGTACAAAGTCTGACATGCAGAACGACAAGGCCTTTCTGAGACTAGGGTGTTTTGAAAGGTGCACCTTTTCACACCCTGAATTTAACAGTGAGAGTATTTGAACATCCAGTACTTCATCATAAGGATCTGTCTTCAGCTTAAGGCCACGTCACACCTACTGTATGTCCTAAGCGACAGCGACCCCTTTGTCGCAGCTCCGACCTTGTCTTCTGCTTTATTGTTTGGTTGGAAAAGAGTGAGTTTGAACCTGCAAATCTCTATACCTGATGCGATTCAGTCCCTAAAACACCTTAGTTTGTTGGCGCTCCGTCCCTGGGTGCACGGATCAGCTGGGCAGGTGGGCGGGGGTATGAGAAAACTGCAGCAGGATGAGGATGCATCAATTGAAGTCGTCTTCGTACTCGTATTCATCCAGGTCCAGGTTGCAGTGTGGAGTCGGGATCTCAAAGAAGTGTCTCTTAGTCAGACCCAGCTCAGTGGAGAGGTGCTGGCCCAGTGGGCTCAGAGGGTTTTCATACCTGAACAGAGAAGATGAAAACAATCAGACTGTATTGATTATAGAGACGACTTTATCAACTATTTTAAATGAACTTGGTTTGTTCTAATCTTAACTGACCATCGACAGAACAAACTTTTTTATACTGATGAAAATACCAGGGAACAAATTCACAAACCTGACACTTCAAATGTAAAAGTTTATCTGAAGCAGATTTATCTTCACTTATTTTTTAAAAGAATACAGACTGTGGATTTGTCCCACATTTGTTGTTTTATGGACGGCTGTGTAGCAGCCAATAATAACAAACCATGTTAAAGGAACAGTTGGACATTTGGAAAGTGTTTTCTACCAGGAATGAAAACGACTGTTCGATCAATCTTCTAAATGGTCAGAAAGCCTCAAAGCTGATTCAACTATTACTACTTTGGTAGCCAATATATGTCTTACTGTAGTAGTACTGCAGTACAATAGTGCTCTAAGCTCTCTGATGGAGGTTTTTTGCAAAAATAAACAGCCAAATTAATAAATCTTAATCCTGGATCTTAATTTGATCTTTTAATTTTGGTAAAAACACAGAGAGGACCAAGGTTTAAAACAGAGGATCGTGGGTCCCAAAATTGGCCGTAAATTAACAGAAACAGGCCTCAAAGAGGCAAAGAGCTTTATATTAATAAACCTGGACTGCTGTTCATTTGGTAGTGGTATCAAACTAACCGACAGTGTGAGGCAGGACTGCATTAGTGATAATGAACAGGTTGTCTTCCAACCATATAAAAATAACTACTGCAGACCATGTCGCGGTGAGGAATCTTTTGGTGTCTCCTGAATGTTGAACTATTCCTTTAAACAGATGTGGTTTTTAACGAACCAGTGCATGAAAAGGACACAGGAAAACCACATAAAGGACCAAACAGATGGTGGAGAAGAGGAGGATGTTTTTGTGCTAAAGAAAAAAGAAAAAGTGAAAAAACAAAACAAAAAAAAACAAAACAAGAGAAGCTGTCTGGTTCAGAAACAAGCTCCCAGCTCTAGGGTCTGATATCACATCCACATGACAAGACCTCTATCTGCTGTCAACATTAGGCTCTGAGCAGTTGGTTGTTGGTTGATTGAAGCCAGGAGTTGGTTTAGGACAAGACTGGCCCAGAAGAAAGGGGGAGGAAGAGGAGGAGGAAGAGGAGGATTCATTGTCCCTGCTGGTTACCCTGTGAGTCTTACCTGCTCTGGTTAGCAGTGGTTCTTTAGGAGTCGCTGGTGTTCCTAAAAACCACCACACAACACACCTATCAAAGACCTCGTCTGTCACTGACCCACATAGACATTTAACCCTCATCTTACCTAATTGACACCTTTGGTCCACGGGGGTCAAAAATGACCCCACCCCTCACGCTTTTCTTTTTGTTATTAATTTAGCTGGTCCTGTGACTTATATGCCAAAGCAACTGTCCAGAAGAGGGCACTGTCAGCACCTGTGACAAGTGGACAAACTAACTGAAAAAGTACATGACTAAACCATAATGTCTTCCTTGTTGCCACCTGTTGCATAAATATATTTAGCCGATTGTGGAAATGGTTCCAGACTAAAATCTGAATTTTCCTTAAACTCAAGTGTTTCCACATACTGTATTTTGTGGAGTCAGCAACTGTCGATTACAAAGCTTGACGTGTTAAAAGGAGGAAACCACACTGGTTAATACAAATGTAGTTCAATATTACAGTAGAAGTACCAGGAAGAACTGGAGCCCAGTGTTATGTGACACAGAGTTCAGAGTACTCAGACTCACACGTCGTTGTACTGTTCGTTTGCAGCCTCCTCCGCCACCAAGGTGTCATACTCATCTGCAGCGTATTTGTCCCAGTCTGAAACTTCCTGTCCGTCTGTTTCCACCTCCTTCGAACACACGACAAATTACAGAAGCCACGTGACTCTCAGAACCATCTGACATCTGTGGACACTCCATCTGACTGCAACTAATTTTACCCTTACGACAGAGAACGGGTCCTTCTGCTCGTGGTCCAGATACTTCTCGATGTTGAAGAACGTGTCAAAGAAGATGTGGGACAACTTGCATCTCTTCAGGTCTCGCAGCGTGATTTTACCTGATGGGTAAAAAGGTACAAAAAAAAATCACTTCAAGGTTACTGTTTTAACATGCAACTTTTCCCATCAGAGGATACTATGACTACCCCCTTTCTGTAGCTTGGACTACTGTTGCAAAAAATTCCTATAATTTCTTGATTAAATACTAAGAGCTCACACTCCTCAACCCAAGTCCGGTTCTGCTTTGGTCTCTTGAAGAACTAAATGATAGTTTCAGTTTATCTCTCTTATGATATTGTCTACTGAAATAGAAGTATTTTCAGTAAAGTTTATTTTGTCTAAAAACACAACTTCATTGTTGAGTCTGAGCTGCTCAGTGAGGACGTTAATGGAGGTCAACTTGTAGGCTGTGCCACACAGCCCTACTGGGCAGCAAGTCAAGTCTGGGTCAGATTCTTGCTCTGAGTTCCAATACTGAACATTCTCACCCTCAGCAGTGACTGGTAGCTTCTAGATGGCAGAGTTGGTAGAGCTAAAAACTGAAGAAGAATTTGTTTACAATGTGGACGAGCAGCTGGCAGCACTCAGTCCAGATCAGTCGGTCAGTTTTCTATGTCTATGTATAACTGATCCCTGTGCTAATGGTCAGTGACCTGTGCGTTCGTCTCTGTGGAAAAAGAAGACCCTGAGACGAGGGCTCTGAGTGTGAACATCTGAGAGCGTGTATTAAAAGTCAAAGGAGGAGGAGGTTCCGACCTTCAACCTCGGGCTTGACAAGGTCGAGCATTTGGCAGAGGCAGTCCTCGAAGGGAAGGGGCTCGATAGCCATGGCATCCAGCTTCTGACACTGCTCCTCGTAGAAGTACTCCAACTCGTACATGCTGAGGACGCCGTCTCCGTTCAGGTCCATGCAGCGGAACCAGTACTCTATACTGGACACAGATGAAAGTGGAAACAAAGAACAGCAGGCGGGTGTCAAAAACTAAAGAGCACAATGAAAAGGAAGTCTCTGCAGACACATTGACTTGTAATTGTAGAAAAAGCACAGATGTTAGTCGTAATATTAATGATGCTCTATTCAAACGTCCCTGTTGAGTCGTGTCAGTCTAACGGTGAGTGAGTGACTGAGTGCTTGTTTCAAGACCTTGAAACTGACGATGCAAACCAAAAAAAAAAAAAAGGAAAAGCCAAAGTTAATTTAAACATTTACACCTGACTTTCCTGCTGCGCCAGGTTAAAATAACATCATTAAAAGAGGTTTGTAGACACGTGGCCAAGAGCTTCCACTCTACAGCTGGCGGTACATTAAGATCTCAGTCATGCGTGAATCTGCGTCATATTGTTTTATAGTGCCACCTGGCTGCAGCTTTCACACTTTCAGAATGCTGTGGCTCTGCTGGAGGAAAAAAGCTCACATTCCACGGCCTCCACTCCCTCCATTCAATAAACGACTTTCACACTCTGATGGCTCTGATGTAACACTGGACTCCAGGTTGTTCAAACCAAAACTGGATTTTTGTTGCAGTGCATTTTTAAATACCTGGTGTCAGTCTTCTTGTCTTCCTCCGAAATGAGAAACCAGACAAAGTCGCCATAACTCAGTCTGCCTTCCTTATACACTCGTCTGTCCCTGTTCAAAGACAAAAAAAACCCATCAAACTCACAGTTCCTTCAACAATACTGGCTACATTTAATGAGCCTTATCTGACACGTTGACTTGCCTCGTAACTGTTCCTGAGAATATTCTCTCGATCATCTTCTGTGAAATGGCTGAAATCATAAAAAAACGGGAGATATTATTTACAATCCAGACTTTTAGGGATAACATCGTCATTTTTCTCTCAGACGACGCTGCTCTCGCTTAATGTTAAACCTTTTCACAACACATGTAATCCATTCCCACCGACTGTAAATCCAGACTGGATAGAGCAGCTTTTTTTTATCTTGACAGTACCATAAATCCTGCAGTCATAATTTTGACCATATAGTGGTAGAAATTGTTCCAGACGTGGCGTCATTGGAGCAGAGTATACAATATGCTGCTCTCACATTGATCTTCTGTCTCATTTCCCCTGCCTCACTCAAAGAACATCAAGTATGAGGAACATGTGGCCTGGTGAAGAAGCTTCAGGAGGTTTTTCCAGGCCATTTACAAATATGTTTTTTATTCTTTGGTAAAGTGTGTCAGAGGGAATATAAAATTATTCTTCTGGTATTTGATTAGTGCTTTTCATTAGGTGCAAGGAAGTGTAACATTACATCCCCAATTCATATATTTAAAATCACAGACATACATATACAGCAAATACATATTTATACATAAACATATCTGTACAGTATATACATACATATATACATACATGTATATATATATATATATATATATATATATATATAGACATACATATATGTACAGACAAATATAAGTATATGTATGTGTATTTTAAAAAAATCTTTCAACTTCTACAATTGTGTTCTGAAAGACATTGGACATTGGTTTGACTTTTTGGTATGAATCCACCTATCATTCGAACCCTAATCTAAGTATCTAATCTAGGCGTCTCCTCAGGAGAAGTGGAGTATTTCCCCCCTGGTCTGAAACTCTCAGTCCATTAACATACAGGCATGTAATGACTTTATTCTAGTCTGAACCAAAGTCATTTACAAGCCTCTTCTTTGCCAGTTTTGTCTCGTAGTGTGTAATTTGTTTAAGTATATAATTATTATAAACTACTCATTTAAGTTCCTAACACTTATTCCTCATAATTGTGTTAATCTCTTCTGCTTTGATCATCATGTCTTTTTCTCCTGTTTAAAATATGTGCCTCTGGTCACAATGCTTTCAGAGAAGCCAGCCACGAGTCAACCTAAAACTGTGGTGAGTGAAAAGATAAACCCTTTACACTGCGTGGTAATGATAAGTGTCTGGTCAAGGGGCCGTAAATTATGACCTTTTTTAGTTTTTGTATTTTAAGTAAAATACTTTCTAATGCCTCCAGTATGAAAAGGTCTCAGCTCTGGATAAAGCTCCAGGTAACTGCACAGTTAATTACAACCATTCATTGCTCTTTTGAAATTTTTTAAACATTAATGTTTTAAGAACATAAAGTGAGTTGTCTCTGTGCACCTTGGTCATTGTGCCGTGCCATGTCAGACTGGTCTATGTAGAGGTCGTGGTCAGTGTCCAACTCCCAGAATTTGCAGTAGATGACGTAAAAATGTTCATAGGAGAAGAAATCCGTCAACTGGTTCACGTCTTCTTCCTGCTCCAGCAGCATCACATTCTGAAATGGGAGGAAACAGATTAACAAAAAAAAAAAAAGATTAACATTAAAAAAATATCTTATTAAAATGTGGAAAAGTAAATGTAGAAACATACCTGAAGAAAGTTACTTTTCCTGAGCTCATGACATGATATTTTTCCAGTCCATGATCTGTTTACATTGTAAAATATCCTCTGTATCACCTGCAAACAGTGGAAACATCAAAAACACAAATGAGTAAATACCCAGGTAGTGCAGCATTACTGTGACTCCACAGATAAATGTGGTCACGCACCGTGGTGATGTATCGTGAGTGAAAGTCTGGTGCATCCTTCAAAAAGGCCAGGCCTGGGTGCGAGTTCACCACATCCTAAAAACACAGAGTAAAGGCAGTTCTGATCGTGTTTTGAGCCATGCATTCCCAAAAAAACAAAAAAAAAACATATAATGAACATAAAAATTTAACAACTCTGTGACCTGGTGACCTGAACTTACATACTGTAGATGTGTCCATCTGAGGTCTGCTGCTACAATTACTGATGGGTAAAAGAGAGTACGTACACGTCTGTCTTTTCTTTCTCTTCTATACAAAACACATGGCTTTCAGATTGGAATATAAATGCAAACATCAGAAGTTGTTAGTGTCCATCCACATCTCCCTGTCATGCCATGTGATTTATAAATTGTGCTATTTCAAATACAGGCCCCAGGCCCCGGCGTGGGAAGCGATCAAATTTAAAATGTGTCTTTGAAGTCAAAAATCACAGGGTGAAACTTTTCCTTGGGATGAGCATAGGCCTGCCTGCTTCAACTGAACTGTGCTGGGAGACCAGTGTGAGTGAAAACCCATTAAGTGGTGACTGAGCTCAACCTTCTCTCCTTCCTGGTGCCATAAAGTCACAGAGGGGTGTTGCTGCATTTCAAATGAACTGCAGCCATAGCCTTTCCTTCCCATCAAATTCTCCCAGGTTTTTTTTTCATCCCAGCATTCTCTTATGCTGGAGGAAAGAATTGTTGACACAAATGCGAAGGCGGCAATGAAATTAAAAGGCCTTATTTCGGGGGCAGCCGTCGTGCCTCTTTGACTCTCATGGTGAGAAATTAAATCATAGAGAAACACATAAATCACAGGGCACAGGAAACAGGCGGAGACAGTCAAATCTACTCTACTGCAATCCGCCTTTCATTCATCAAAACAGTCAAAGGCGATTCTGCAGCACAGGAGCGTACAAATTAAACACCGAGTGCCACAATGCATCTCAGCTGGTATGCTAACGGGTGTTCGACGCGGCGACCAGGCCGCGCTTGCCAGCATGGAAATAAATCAGGTGTGGGGTGGGGCCGGTGCGGCGAAACCAACAGATTGTCAGGTGGAAAGGAAGGATGTAAACAGCCAACACAGCAAGTCCAAATGGTTGACAGTCTCAGGGAACATAGTTCTGGAACCAATGCATGTTTTCTATGATTATTTTGGTACTAATCTTTAAATACAATGTTGATCTTTCAAATTACATTTAGAAAGACAGTTGTTTGTTTTTAATGGAATTAAACAGGACAGAGCCAATCAAATAGAAATAGGTAGACTATGGTCTGTACCTGGACCAAGTGGTCACCTTGGTTGGAACCTGAACTTGTGACTAATTAAATATAGATAATTGTTAAAAGTTGTATTTTAAATGGTGACTCAAAACTGGTGGTCATATTAGGAAAATATTTACACGCAAAATATGGTTTTAATACAAACCTGTGAGCCATAGATTGTGAGATATAATTAGTTTTTTGTCATAACTTGGATTTTGATTAATATCTTATCTTTTGTTGGTTATTTTCTGCGTGATCCGATTCACGGACCACCGGAATCTTTCCACTCCCGATTTACCCTGGTACAGTAAGGTCCCTAAATTAGTTCTCTGCCACATGAAAAACACTGCGTCAGCAAGCCTGTCCCAAAATTGAGTGCACTTCACACTGACCCAAGCCAATGTAATTTTGCCAAGCTCAGCCCTGATCTCTGGGCGAATTTGCAGTAGATGACGTAAAAATGTTCATAGGAGAAGAAATCCGTCAACTGGTTCACGTCTTCTTCCTGCTCCAGCAGCATCACATTCTGAAATGGGAGGAAACAGATTAACAAAAAAAAAAAAAGATTAACATTAAAAAAATATCTTATTAAAAAGTGGAAAAGTAAATGTAGAAACATACCTGAAGAAAGTTACTTTTCCTGAGCTCATGACATGATATTTTTCCAGTCCATGATCTGTTTACATTGTAAAATATCCTCTGTATCACCTGCAAACAGTGGAAACATCAAAAACACAAATGAGTAAATACCCAGGTAGTGCAGCATTACTGTGACTCCACAGATAAATGTGGTCACGCACCGTGGTGATGTATCGTGAGTGAAAGTCTGGTGCATCCTTCAAAAAGGCCAGGCCTGGGTGCGAGTTCACCACATCCTAAAAACACAGAGTAAAGGCAGTTCTGATCGTGTTTTGAGCCATGCATTCCCAAAAAAACAAACAAAAAACATATAATGAACATAAAAATTTAACAACTCTGTGACCTGGTGACCTGAACTTACATACTGTAGATGTGTCCATCTGAGGTCTGCTGCTACAATTACTGATGGGTAAAAGAGAGTACGTACACGTCTGTCTTTTCTTTCTCTTCTATACAAAACACATGGCTTTCAGATTGGAATATAAATGCAAACATCAGAAGTTGTTAGTGTCCATCCACATCTCCCTGTCATGCCATGTGATTTATAAATTGTGCTATTTCAAATACAGGCCCCAGGCCCCGGCGTGGGAAGCGATCAAATTTAAAATGTGTCTTTGAAGTCAAAAATCACAGGGTGAAACTTTTCCTTGGGATGAGCATAGGCCTGCCTGCTTCAACTGAACTGTGCTGGGAGACCAGTGTGAGTGAAAACCCATTAAGTGGTGACTGAGCTCAACCTTCTCTCCTTCCTGGTGCCATAAAGTCACAGAGGGGTGTTGCTGCATTTCAAATGAACTGCAGCCATAGCCTTTCCTTCCCATCAAATTCTCCCAGGTTTTTTTTTCATCCCAGCATTCTCTTATGCTGGAGGAAAGAATTGTTGACACAAATGCGAAGGCGGCAATGAAATTAAAAGGCCTTATTTCGGGGGCAGCCGTCGTGCCTCTTTGACTCTCATGGTGAGAAATTAAATCATAGAGAAACACATAAATCACAGGGCACAGGAAACAGGCGGAGACAGTCAAATCTACTCTACTGCAATCCGCCTTTCATTCATCAAAACAGTCAAAGGCGATTCTGCAGCACAGGAGCGTACAAATTAAACACCGAGTGCCACAATGCATCTCAGCTGGTATGCTAACGGGTGTTCGACGCGGCGACCAGGCCGCGCTTGCCAGCATGGAAATAAATCAGGTGTGGGGTGGGGCCGGTGCGGCGAAACCAACAGATTGTCAGGTGGAAAGGAAGGATGTAAACAGCCAACACAGCAAGTCCAAATGGTTGACAGTCTCAGGGAACATAGTTCTGGAACCAATGCATGTTTTCTATGATTATTTTGGTACTAATCTTTAAATACAATGTTGATCTTTCAAATTACATTTAGAAAGACAGTTGTTTGTTTTTAATGGAATTAAACAGGACAGAGCCAATCAAATAGAAATAGGTAGACTATGGTCTGTACCTGGACCAAGTGGTCACCTTGGTTGGAACCTGAACTTGTGACTAATTAAATATAGATAATTGTTAAAAGTTGTATTTTAAATGGTGACTCAAAACTGGTGGTCATATTAGGAAAATATTTACACGCAAAATATGGTTTTAATACAAACCTGTGAGCCATAGATTGTGAGATATAATTAGTTTTTTGTCATAACTTGGATTTTGATTAATATCTTATCTTTTGTTGGTTATTTTCTGCGTGATCCGATTCACGGACCACCGGAATCTTTCCACTCCCGATTTACCCTGGTACAGTAAGGTCCCTAAATTAGTTCTCTGCCACATGAAAAACACTGCGTCAGCAAGCCTGTCCCAAAATTGAGTGCACTTCACACTGACCCAAGCCAATGTAATTTTGCCAAGCTCAGCCCTGATCTCTGGGTGAGCTGCAGCCAGCCCAGTACCTGCAGGAATGGAATAAAGTCGTCTTGTTCCAGGTAATTACAGCCAGGCTTGGCCAAGAGGTGCACAAATTTAGAAGCGTCATCGTGACAGGTCTGCAGAATTCTGGAGGAGAAAAGAGAGAACAGATGGTAGCACGGTTACTGCCCTTCTCTTTCATGTCTGCATTCTTTCATTTTTATGATTTCTTGATCTGATGGTAGAATATAAAGTGTTTTTACACAGTAATTGTGTAAGGGAGGAACGATTCATTTTGAAATTAGGATTTTAAATGGTGTCCTGAGCAGTACAGCAGTGAGTTAAACATAATAATATTGGCATGTTAATAAAAACAATCGATGCAGTATCATGAAATAAAATATATTTCAGTGAAAGGTCATTTTGGGCTTCAACCAGGCATGTGCTGCTCACATTACAGAAGTTCCTATTGCTTTCATATATTGTGCAGAAATACACTGAATAGATGCTTTATATGTAGTGCGTGAACATTCTGTCTTTTTGTGATCAATGTTATTGTCAGGAATCAAAAAGGTATAATTGCAGATAGCAGCAAACAGAGTCTGTCCGTGAGTGGCCATCATTGTGCAGGAGGAGGAGACTTTTTAGGCCACTGGGTTGTGAGTGAGGGAGTGAGTGTAGCAGTGTTGTAGTGAGAATGAGAGAAGTCATTGTCTTACTTTCTCCATATAGCAACAAACTTGTGGACAGAGACGAAGCCCGTCCTGTCGCCTCCAGCTGAGTTGAACAATGGCACTTTCCAAAAGAGGGGACATTCACAGGCCTGGGGAGACAATGAGGGAGAAGGTGGATATAGTGTAGCTGTTAAGGAGTGGGCACAGGACATGTGGAGGTAATGCAGAGTAATAGTTGAGGGATATTAATAAGCTCTCAACATGACATGTGATGTTGAAAAGAATGACACACTGACAATTGACTCCTTTAGGAGTCAACAGCAGAGTTGCATCATTTGAAGACTACCCCGAGGAAATCTAAATGTCATTCCTCTCACTCAGCTTCCCCTCTGGCCATGGCTTGCGTTCTTCTCAGTGGTTTAAGTTAATATTTTCAATTGAAATGTTTGCTGACTTTAAAAAAAAAAAAAAAGTCAGCAAACATTTATAAAATCGGAAGCTTAAATGGCACTAATGAAAATAATCTGGTGGGTGGCAGCTGACCCTCCACGCTACAAATCACACTCTCACCTTGGCGACCTGCCCCATGTCCTCAATGGTGGCCCTTTCATTTGGGAATTGGGAAAATATTTTCTCAATTTTGGAAATGAGGCCGTCGATGTTGAGGTTGGCTTGGGGCCGGCCCTGCGGGAAGTAAAACTTTGGAATGCTTTCACTGAGCGCTGAGGTGATGGGCTCCTCCGTCCTCACCTGGGCCTGAGGCAAACACACAGACAAGAACTGTTAGGCCCTGATGTTAGCAAACATTTCTCAGTTCAAGCAGGTTTTTTACTGCTTAAGTGCCTTGAGTGTCTTCACTGCTGCCTCTTATGGAACTGCAACACACAAAGGCTTTTCCACATTTATTTGTAACAGATATCTCTGTGATATAGTGTGTCCTCTATGGAATGTCACTCAGTAATGGATTTCAGTAAAGATGCAGTGATTGATTGTAATGTGCAAATGTTTTTCCTGACAAAGAGAATAGAAAAACAAATATTGATCTGGCATTGTTGTCGCAACCTCTGTTTTGCCTTAAGCAAAACATATCGAGACCAACCCACAAAAAAACAAACGTAAAGCAAATAGAAACTATGACCAACAACATAAAAATGTCTTAATCCACATTAAGGCATGGGGCAGACCCCCGTCCCAGTAGGCACAGAGCTGTAGCATTTCTTTTTTTGTAACACAGTGAAACCTAGTCTGATTTTTTTTTTTTGTTCAACGATAGCAATAATAGCAAAGGTGAAGGAACTAAAGTTTTTTTAAATGTGCAGTAATAATACTTATAATGGCAATTTGCACCATCACTCTCATGATTTACATGATTACGTGATTTACATAAATTTAAGAAAGTATTTGAGGAGTTCTTTACCTTTTTCTACACATCTATACATACTAATGAAAGGTGAAAACACATCATGCAGTATTTTACCTTAGTGTATCTTGTTTATATGCAATAGTGACTTTGCTATAAAGAGAGTGTGTTGCTCTCCCTTCAGGAATCTTCTGCAGCAGAGACCTTACAGAAACTGGTACATCATGAATTGATTGACAGTTCATCACAGAACCACACACAGAGGCAACAATTAACCATTAGCTCATCTGAACATTTTAAAACTATGTAACAACTAACAATTATTGCGAAAATATGCAAAGTCCACAAAGAAAAAGTGGTGACGCAACCAGGAAACTGATGAGCTCCTTGCTAATTTTAAGCTTCTTAATTTTTCCATTTTTACTCTGCATATCATACTGACTCCCTTTAACCCAAATTAACAGGTGCCTGTGTCGCACCTGTTAATAATACAAAAGGCATCCAGTGTGTAAGACACATAATCCAGAACCTTAAAATTATTTCCATGGGCAGTAAGTGCAGGCTTTCAATCAGGTGCTTCATTGACTGTAGACCAAAAGTGTCTTCATGAGAAATCTGATTGTTATGATTTACCCACCAGTTGAACTCAGCTGACATATTCAATGACATGACCATCATAACTGACAACAACAGCACTGTGCACTACAGGAGATGAATCAGTGTAAACTATTTTTACAGCAAAGAAAATATTCCAGGAGGTCTGAGTATCCTTATGTGTTATGTTGCACATAATAGCACTTGTGTGTCTACCTCTGCAAAGACGTCTCCTATTCAGAGACTGTTTACCTGACTGGACCGTTCCCTGCTGGCTTTGAGTGTTCTGTTCTGGTAAAAGATATAAATACCATCATGTTTGTTTTAGCCTAACACATTCCACTGATTGTTTACACCTTTGCTCTGCAACCAAAAAAGCTCAATACAACTAAGTTGGACATATCTGCACCAGCCTGACAGAACACTGGTGTGAGCTGCAATGTTCAAGTGTATTTAGTCAGTGGTAATCTGCTCATTTTAGACATGCTAAATAACAAATGCTGCTGATCCTCTGCTCTTCTCTGGCCCTTGTGTTGGTGTCAGGCTTGTCTATAAAAGGACATAAACATCTCCTGTTGCCCTGGCCCACACTGTCCCTCCTCTCTCACTCTGCCCTCCTAACTTTCCTGCTAACCATTAGCACTGCCGGTAAGCCACATGACATTTTGCACACTGTCAAGGATGAAGGCTGAGAAGGGAAAGTAAAGCATCTGAGAATACATAACCGGCATTCCACACATGAGGGGACATCTCACCAATGACAACTCAGCTTAGCCTAAGAACTCTTTTGAAAGCAATCAAGAAAAAAAAGAAAAAGCTTTGAAATATACCACTAAAGGTGGGTTTAAATACACCTGGAGAGGGATGAAACCAATAATGTTTCCTCACTCATCTAATAAGCTACTAACTCCTATTACTTAGAGCAACTGACGATACAATTAGTCATTGTAAAGAGCCCATTATATTCATTTGTGCATCAATGCATTCTAAATACCAAGACATTAAGCTCACAAATGCCACTGTCAATTCAAAGACCGTCTCACAGGCCCGAGCAGCCTATTTGTTCAATGGAACACTGACAAAACACCTGCCTGTCCTTGCTGGAAGGCTTTCAGCCTCTTCTTGAACCGAGATGGCAGAACAAAGTCGCAGCCACGTGCCAGCAGAGCCAACTCCTTCCTCAGGTCGGGGTCCTGACGCAAAGACAGCTCCTTCATCCTCATCCTCGCGCCAGGCAGGATGGGGAATGCACACAACACACAAAACCACTCAACGTGGTGGTATCCTCTTGCCTGAGGAGAAAGCCCTTAATTACAGCCAACAAAGGAGGCAGACGGCAATGGCAATAGTGGAAGTCCTCTGTCTGTGCCCCTGTGTTTGTCCTCTGTCAGAGAGGGAAGCCTCTTAATGCAGGGCAGCAGCTGCAACGATGGCTCTGTTTCTCATTCCTGAGCTGGTCGCACAATCTCAGCTCTGACTGCTGCTCTGTCCGGTCTCGACACAACACACAAATACACACACACAAATGCACAAACTTCACAGGGTCAGAAAGCCCTTGCCCTAAAGTTGCTGAGAAGATAAGAAGTGACAATGTCTGTGTGTGAGTGTGGGAGTCACTTAGTGTACTGTATGTGTGGTGTGGGAGGGGTGTGTGTAGTGGATCTGATCTTTCCAGTTTGCATTCCAACGTGCTCATGGAAGGTTATGTAAAGACACAGACCTGTTGTTGCAACTGCAGTAGCTCCAGGGGCAAGTGAAGGATGCACCTCAATGTGCGCCACAATGTTACAGGCTTGTGTTCTATGGTTTCAATACTGCAAAAGTCCTACACTGCCAGTTGTTATTCCATGAACTTTGAATTCAAAAAATAATAATAAAATAAAAACTCATCCCCTTTAGGAGGTTATATTTGATAATTTGGAAATATTCTGTTAATATTAAATTTTTGTTAATATGTAACATTTAGCTCGTAAAATCATCTCTTAGATGCTCAAAAAAAGGGCAACTTTTTTTAAAAAAGGAAAACAATTGGTTTAAAATGCTGCAAACCAAATATTGTAATTTTTTTGAAAATTATTATTGGAGTTGCACATAAAAATGCAAATAATTGCTAAAATCATTCAATTGATTTCAAATTAAAAATGACTTCTCATATTCTTTGAGGTTTGTAGGAACTTTTTGAATATCCACTTTTAGCTTAATCTACTTAGATATGTTATATTTTATATTGCTAAGGATAAATCAAATTGATAAACGGTAGATAATAGTAATAAACAAGAGCAAATCACCACATCCTACACAGACAATAACTGTTTTTATAAATTCCCTTCTGCCATTCTGCCTTCTATCTTATGGTGGTCTTTGTTTTGCCTTCCCTTCGCAGGCCTGGGCTGCCAGCCATTCCACATCTTATTATAGGTAGGACGGGGTGGGGGGAGCATGTCAAATTCAAAGAATGATGACTGAAACAGTCTGCGACTATTAAAAGCATCACCAAGCACCGTTTGGGCAAGCTAGGGAAACTAGCTCTGGAGAAGTAAGAGTATCTTTAGCCGTCAAACAAACATCTGCTTCCGGTAGCTGCTGTCCTGCAAGTGATGGCAATTACATCAATTCAGCACGAACACGCTGATCTTACAGGCTTCACAACTGCGACGTGAGTGTACAGGGAAAGTCCAACATCTGCATACTGTTAGCACTAATGAAGTGAAAGATAAAATAAACAGAAATGGCTAAAATAATGTTTGTATATATGGTTAGCTAAATAAACCCATATTTATTCATGTCTTTCTACACACCAGGTGAATGCACACCCACAATATTTATAGATGACAGGATCACAATGTCCACAATTTTCCACTGGTCCATGCCGAAACCCAGTTCCTGTTATCCTACACACAGGACGCTGTACATACTAGATAGGTTTTTTTGTGCTAACACTAAAACCAAATAGATTACATCAGCTGTCAACACACATGAAACAAAGTTGCCTGTGTTTGTTGCTTGTGTTCACTGACCATTATCATAGTAGCTAGGTGACAAATGTGACAAATTTGATAATGCAATGTTATTTAAACACCGCACGAAAAGCAGTTATGTCTAATTAAATAGTGGAACTGTTTAGAAACCAAGTTTTAGGTGACAAAAATTGTGTTGCTGAGATTTTTACTGGGTGCAAGGCAACATTAAGATATTTTGTGCATTTATTAAAGGCAGAGAGTGAATATGATGGACAAACTGTTGGAGACAGATCTGTCACACTGTATTGGATATGGTGAGATAGGAGACAATGATTCTAAGGATTCCACTCTTAGAAACAAAACAAACAGCATGTTGTCTAGTTGGTAAAACATTGAATCAAATTTGGTAAAAAAAATGTGTTTTGCTCATTTTATGTTGAGTACATAATGAATGTGATTATCTAGCACACTGCTGGGAGTTAGTGATTACAGAGATGATCAGATGTTCGAGCTTCCTCTAGTCAGATGACTACTGCAGGTTGTGATTTAGTTCATGTGAATTTAGCAGTGTTGATTTAAAACCAAGGCAATAAGCAGAGCAGACCACAATATGGTCGTGAAAAACGGATCAATATCTTTTAGTACAAGTTTACACAGTATATATGGTGTTGCGTAAATAGTGTAGGTCCATTAGTAGAAAGGCCTGATTCACTGACAAGGTGAAACAGTTATGACCCTATGTAGGAAGAGCTCCTATTGACTTACAGCACAAAAACAGGCACTCAGAAATCCAGAGTGTTCATGCTCAATCTATCTAGCAGGATTTTTGGGATATGTGTCAATGTTAGCCAAAAATAGGCCTGAATGACAACATGGTGGGCACATGGAGACCAACCAATCATGATGTGCACACATCAGCTTTCTTACATAATAGCAAAGTTGCAAAAGTGAACCCTATGAGAGGTATTTGCTGAAATCCTGCAGTGTATGGCTTACTGTACATGTGAGTGGAGCAAAAGGTTAGAACTCCATGACAGGAGCCATATAGATAAGAAGGTACACAGATTAGAGCACCCCTCTATTACCAAAGGAGAATGTGGTATGTGTACATCTGCTGGATTGCACAAAGTTATATATCCTGCTCTGCAGGTTTGCTTAACTTATTTGTCGTTTAAATTTTACCATAAGTGCAGCAAATAGAACAGATGACAAGAGGAAGGTCCAGGCATAAAGAATCTGACCACACAGAACCTGCTTTTATATTAAGTGTAGTTGTTTCTGTCATGTATTACTTTTCTATGACAATATGGTGCATCATGTAGTGGCGAATCAAACAATGGAGATTGCAGCCTACTGAGCAACTCACATATTTATATAACAAGGATTGATCAAAAATACTTGTGAAACTTCAAAAATGTGTATTTCCAACTTTGAAGTGAAATTAAATGTTTGGTGAATCTGACGCTGTCTAAACTAACCTAAAAATGTTATGTCCTTTTTATTGTATTATTTTATTTTTGTTTTCTTTCTCAGCAGAAAGACAAAATATATCAAATGACATAGCCAATGTGCTTGCCAAGACTCCAAAAGGAAAGCACTTGTTGGAAACAGTTTTGCACACTCTTTGACAGGTCAGACAACTGAGGATGTGACCCTGGGTCATTGCTTCAAATAGCGTCTGTGTTACTGAGCCCAAATAAGCATGTTATAAAAAGGTGTCTCAAGAAATAACTGGAGGGAAAACCAAGATATAAAAAAACCCTTCAAATTAAACATCATAGTGTGCATTTCGCTGATAAAATAATAAAAATAACAAACAAACAGCAATGCAGAAATGAAAGCTAAAAGTCTATGTAGATAGTGTAGAGAAAGGTGTAAGTAAATGACCCACAACCACATATTCTGATAATGAAAAGTATGTTATAGTAGTGGTTTTAGAGTAAGTTACGCATAGTGTTAATGTGCTGCCACATCTGATCTCACTGGCAGAGTTCTGGGGGTCTGATGCCAACTCCAGGGAACTAAGGCTATCTATATCAGTGTCTGATGTCAAAGTGGGACCAGCTGTTCCAGACTGCATCAGTGTGAGATAAATTGAATTTTTGAGTAATCCTACGAAGAATGCATACGTACACGGGAATTCAATTTGTCGTCTTAAAATAGAAGTATTACTTTATACAACCTCTTGGTCTGTTTAATATTGAGTGACCAAATGACCTGACACATCACAGCGCAGGAAACAAACTGTACCCCAGTTGCTTTATTAACAGGAGACATAAGGGCAAAAAGGTGACTAGGGAAAAAACAGACACGAGGATATCCCTCAACATTTTAAACATTCTAAATGATAAAATTAAAAATCACAGCCTGGACGGATGGTTGTCATTCTTCATAAATTTTGTAGGCAAATTTGAGCAAAAATGAAAAGTGCAAATAAGACTCTGTGGGCAGTGTGTTTTCCTTTCTTTAACCTTTAACCTGTGCTCTGACTATATTTGCAAATAAAGCATGATAGTTGTATAATGAAATTAAAAGCTTACATAAGATAATTAATGTCCATATACTTATTTTTTCTTTATTTTTTATTTTTTTTGTATGTTATGTTATTGCATTAGACATACTCAGAAAAAAAACCCTAAATACCAGAAAATAACTGATTTTTTTAAAAGTCTAACACTGGGTCCATTTATAAAAAAATGTGTTTCAGATAAACAAGAAAGTGACAGGAAACAGTTGCCTTTCCAATGCTTTTCTTTAGCATGTCAACAACATGGAGAAGGAGGGGTCTCTAAGAGCACATTCCCCCCAGCTGTCTGCCTGCCTCAATGTCATCACACTCACTAATATCCAGTCTATAGCTATTCCAGGCTGTCATGTTGCAATTCTCTCCCTGACAGGAGGGAATCTTTAAACGGCTATTAAAAAAACCCTTGTGAAGCTCGACTTCTTCATTAATCAAATAGCCCAGAGCAAAATTCATACAGATCTACAAACTCAAAACAGTATAAAAATAGGATGTGAGACACCGGCTGATAGAAGTAACCAGAGTGACAGTGATGGACACTCCTAATTCTCATACCACACTAATTCGTGGGTGAGGCCAGAACATTTGGAAAGTATTTGATGAATAATTGTACATATCCTTACAGACATGGAGGCTCCACAGTGACAGTGCAGAGTGGACAATCTCTGCATGTCTTTGATGCCGCATGCTTCTCAGCAGCCTCTTGTGGTCAGGCTAGAAAAACAGATCCCAGAGGAGACAGTGTGACCTGGTCTGGGAGGGTTGAAACTGAACAGCCTACAATGACTTAGTCATTGACTATCTTGTTAAGGGGAACCTACAGCCAGATGACACTAAGAAAATGTTTTGTTACCAACATTGGGAATCAGCACATGGTATCACAACTTTATGGTCTGAAATCAAAGCTAAACAAGGTGATGTGGCTTCATTATCTGCCTGTCACTGTATAAATAATCTTGGGATCCCAGCATGGATTTTATTCAACTAATGCAAACAGCCAATAATTCTCTGATCTTCATGGCTGATACCGATGATAACTAATAACTGGGGTGACATGTCATGATTTGAAGTCCTAATGTACTAAGACCCCTAAACCAGGGAAGACATGTTGTGTTGGGTCCATATAGCAGTATTTAGCTCATTTGCTAAAGTGCATGGTTGGCTAAGCAATTTATATATCAATTTATTGGCATGGATTAAAATATCGGCCAAATTGGTACCAAAACATTATCAACTGATAATATTGTGCACTCATGAGAAAATATTATTTTCATAACTTGCTGCAATATCAAAATATAAATAGCACCAGGGAAGAAGATAGTAAGTACGTTGGATTATGGGACATGGAAGAACAGAACATGCTGTGAGGCAA